CTTATAAATGTTAAGGTCTATGCTCAGAGTAGCCTGCTGGAATCTCACTGTGACTCAATTTGTCCAGTGCATTCACACCCCTTGTCAGTCACTGAGCCATCTCAGCCTTTGAGTGTACTGTCTTAGTGTGGAAATGCTTGTGTTCAGGTAATCCCTTTGCTCTGTAATGGCCCAAAGGGAAGAAGCCGAAGGCTAGCCAGAAGTGCTACCTTTAATGGAAAGATGAGCATCACCATTGCCTGTCGTGCTGGAGGTTGGTAGCTTCCATTGTTTCAGGCATTCACTGAGGGTCTTAAAGCTGTCCTCCCCTCAGTGAGAAGGTAGGATTTCGAGTACAAGCTGTAAGTTTTAGTTACGTTTTCACAGCACGTGAGAACACAGCTCTGAGTACCCGTCTTGCAGAATGGAGAACTTTTTGGGGTGATTCAAGTGACCTTGTTTTTGTTCTTTGTGTTCCACACAGTGTTTCTGTTGTCAGAGCTCTGATTAGTAGCATGAATAAATGTCATTTTGGTGAAAGTCACAGTCATAAAATTAGGTTTCTATGTTTTAGTGGTAGAAAGCACTCATAATTTTTGCTAGATTTAAAAATTTTAATATTCAGGGCAGGATGACAAGTCTGATAGCAATAAAAATGTAGAGTTAGAAGAGACAGGAAACTTCAAAATTTCAAAATTCTTTGCAAGTGTTTGAAACTGGTAGTTTGGGAAGTGTGAAATACTTTAAACAAATAGTTTAGAAATGTGGCAGAGAAAAGATTTTGAAATTAAAATTTCCTGTATTCTAAATGGTACATCAGCATTAAATATTTTTTCTTATCAACATTAATAAAATCAGCACACTTAAAATCTTAAGGTCTTTTCAAATTATTTATTTGGAAAATGACATGCAACCATTTATATTTATAACATGATTAAGAGCTGGTATTCACACTGCTTTTATGTTGACTAGTATAGACTTAGACCTTTCAGTACATTCAATACATTTCAAGTTGATAAGGGGCACGGTATAAATTTCTTGTAAATAATCTAGTGAGTGTCAGAATACTCATTAAACATTAAGTTTATTTGCTATGTATCATTGAAAATTCTTTACCCAAATGCTATTAGAATATTCTAATGCATAAAATAGTTTGCAATTAAATGCTTCCATTCTTGAACACATAAAAACAAGGATACTTGGAGTTCAGCATGAAAGAGGCACAGGCGCTTGTTGGTATCAGACTGCTGCTGCCTCTTGACAACACCTCGTAGCGTTTAGCGTGTAGAATGTCCCAAATACATGGCATTACAGTTTATAATGTTCTAAGTATGGATGATTTCTAACTTAGAGGAATTTGAGTTTCTGTAGTTAAGTAAATGTAAAGAATATTCAGGAAGTATTTCCCCATCCTTCAATTATTTCATTAACTGAAAGTTTTATTTGAGTGCTTATTAAAGAGCACATGATTTGGGTCTGGAGAACACTTAGTGATCTTTCAGCAGGCCTGGATTCAATTCCCAGCACCTACATGGTGGCTCACAACCATCTGTAACTCCAGTCCCAGGGTTCCTGTACCCTCTTCTAATGTTCTCAGACACCAGGCACACAGTGGCGCACAGGCACAGTCTCAGAAAAAACACCCATACGCAAAGTAAAAATTACAAAAAAACACATGATTTGCAGTATTTCTAGGAAAGCCCCCAAATTAAAGAGCGAGTGTGAACGTCTTATTTTACTACTGTTTAGTATGATAGGCATGTATGTTCTAGGGGATCATTTCTCATTTTCACTACAAAAAAAGCTGATCTAAGTTGTCTTATCCTTGGTCAGTTTTAAACTTAAAAAAAAAATTAGATATTTTGTAAAGGGCTAAAAGTATGATTTAAACTATAGATGGATATTATTTTAATTCCAAATGAAAGGTAATGTGCATAAGCATGGATCTGATTCAAATAAAGATTTGAAAGTCTGCTAATGTGTCTCATTTTGCTGTAATTCAGAGAGGTGCATCTTTGTACATAGACCTGTGTTGTGGGGTATGTAGGAGAGATTGTTTTTCATCAGTAAACACATTGTTGATTCACATTGAGACTTCCAAGTGAGATTCAGAACTGCAGAATATCCAGATGACTTCCTGAAGCTTGCTTTCCTCTCGGCGTCAGAGCTGCCAGCGTGGCTACTTCAGGTTGCCTTGTCACACAATGCCAGTGTTGTCACTAACCGTCCAGTGGCTGAGACCAGTCTAGGTTTTTGTTTCTGTTTTTAATTCTTCCAGTCTTGAAGGTAGCTCCCACTAAGGAGATTCAAATTTGAATTTTGAAGTTGTGTCCTTTGTGTTACATGAGCAACTGGAGAGCATTCAGGTGCATTGCAGTTCTCAAGGGTTGCTGAATATGTTTTACATTTGCTTTATAACTGTCCGCATAGTTCCAGAATCACTTTTCCTTTCATACCAGTATTCCTTCCTTTTAGTAAACATTTTAAATAGTCTTTCCATCTGTGAAATAGTATATCAGTGTGTGTGTATGTGTATACTGAGCGCATGCACATGCTCATGGTAAGTGATAATATCATTTTCCACTCAGTAATGTGCAGTGTACAGAAATACCATCAATTCCCTTTGCACTTGCATAATTCTACACTTGGTTCTCTCCTTCATCATGCAGCAAGTCCACTGAGCCATCTTTGTAGTCCATGCACTAACACTTTTGAAATAAACTAAAAAAAACAAAACAAAACCAAATCTTACAATGGTATTTTGAGGGTTTGTTACAGAAACTGAAAGCCAACACGGCTAGCTTATTCACTCAATTTTCTGTTGGTATTTGAGTTTATATTAGTACCAACTTGTGCTGGGCGGTGGTGGTGCAGTCCTTCAATGCCAGCAGAGGCAGGTGGATCCCTGAGTTTGAGGCCATCCTGAACTACATACAGAGTGAGTTCCAGGACAGCCAGGGCCACACAGAGAAACCCTATCCCAAATCAAATCAATCAATTTAGAGTCAAAACATTGCATTTTTATAATGGTATATGTTGAGGAAGTTGGAAATAGCTGTTACAGTGATAACAAAAGTCAATCTCATTTTAAAAGTCCCTCATCTCGTTTCTTACGAGTCTCCGTGAATACTTGATGTGTTGGTATCAAAGAGAGCACCGTGTGGATGGTATACCAATTTGATTAGCTGATCTTTATGATTAGACTGGTCTGTACCACACGTGCTTGTTTTTAATGGTTTATCACCGCATAAACATAAGTCATTTAAAGTTGGGTTTAAAAGAACTACAATTATTTTGTTTTACATTAACAGGAAAGTTACATTTCCTGAATACAACAAAAATAGCATGATGGCAAATAAGCTGGCAAAACATTTTCTTAAGTTTCTGCTGTGGCAGAATGCACAAGGCCCCAGTGTGTACATATATAATGTGTATGTATGTGCATAAAATAGATGCATATGTGTGTGCACAATACCCATATACATAAATTTTTAAAAATAAATATATTTAAAACCACTCGTGCTTTAGATTAATGTTTGGCACATGTAAATAGCATATATGCTTTTGCTGATACTTGAAAATGCATTCCAAGACTTTCCACATATACATCTATTACACTTTTACATATTTTACATATTTTAAATAGAATATAAATTAAATGTGTTTAGGAATACATACATATGCATATATGTGTATATATACATGTACACACATGTATATATATAAAACACAAGGTTTCTTGGCTGGTCTGAAACTTGCTTACATAGACCAGGCTGGCCTCAAACTTACAGAGCTACACCTGCCTTTGCCTCCAAAGTGCTAGCTGGGATTAAAGAAAGACCTTCGCCAAAATGCCCAGTTCATGTGTGTGTTGTATGTTACTGGGGATTGAGTCTGGGGTCTTGCCCATGTTAAGCAGGCATTCATCTCCTTGGTCACTAAGTTGTCCAGGTGGCTTGAACTTACTTTCCTACTGCCTCAGCCTGTGGAGTAGCTGGTTGCAGTTCTTATAACAGCTTCCTAAAATTTATCTACAAGACATGCAAACCTTGTTAACTGTGTGCATCTGAGCATGTTTATTTGGCACCATTAACCGTTACTCGTTAAAAGCTGGATCTGTTTTTTTTTTTTTTTTTTTTTGTTTTGTTTTCATTTACTAATATTTTAGTAAATATTAGGTGTGTCAGAGGAGCCAGGAGGTCAGAGAACTTCATTGAATTGGTTCCCTTGTTCAATGGTGGGATCCTGGGATCCTACTCAGGTCAGCAGGCTTGCTTCTGCAAGCATTTTTAAAACGCACTGAGCCAGCTCATCAGCCCTTGAATCAGAATTTAATGGCTGCCTCTACCATGCTCCAGAACGCATGCTGCAATTACACGATGACAGAACGGAAAAGAAGGGGAGACGCACAAATAAATAATCATGAGCACCTAAACAAGCAATTAGAATAGAAAAAAAAAAATCACAAAATAGCAAAACCATGAAAGTTAAACATAGTAGCCTTTGAACTTGGGCAGTTCACGGGCAGGTAAAATTCCCTGGAATCTACAGTATCTTCACCACACACGAGAGAGTGCCCTAGTGTATTCAGCCTCATTTGAAAATCAGGGCAGCAACTTCTGCTCAGAATGAAAAACCAAAACAAAAGCAAAATTAGAGCTCTAGGCGACAGCCCTAGGTCCACCTGCCTATTCTCAGGTGCTGATGCCCTGCAGGCGCCCAGAGGAGCCACTAGGGACTTACAGCAGGGTGTGTTTTGGGGAGATGCAGAGATGGAGAGAGATGGAGAGAGAGGGGTGTCCCGCGTCGGGGGGGGGGGTGCGGTAATGCAGGAGGGTGCCCTGCGTGGGTTAGGCAGCGGGTTCCAGGCTTTTTCGGCAACCTTGGCAGATGGGTGAGCAACTGTGCTCTCCAGACAGTCTGGCCGCCGGGTGTGGCCAGGGGTCATTCGGGCCCGCCCCGGAGCCCCGAGCCAAGGTGTCGCGGCTGCTCCCGGGCGCCCCCTGGCCCGGCTCGGGCTCCCGAGGTTTCCGGTGCGCGGCTGCGGGCGGTGACGCCTAGCTGCTCCCGAGCTGCCGCCGCTTCTCCCTAGCGAAGCTGCAGGTGGGCCCCGCGCCGTCCCCGCCTGCTCCCCTCCCGGGTCCGCGCCCCCGTGGGCCCTCAGCCGATGCTGGAACCCCGATCCGAGCCCAAGGCCTTCAGCTGGTCCCCGGGAGCCTGCCGGTGGCCGCGGGCAAGGGCGATCGATGCCCGGCCAGGCCTGCCCTGTTGCCTCGATCCTCAGGCTGGGGCGGAGTCCCTCTCCAGATCTCCCCCGGTTCACCTGGGGCCCGAGCGCCTCCTGGGACAGCTGCGTCCCGGGGCAGCCCGGGCCACGGTTGGCTGCTGCGGACCTCGAAGAGCTGACCCCACCACACCAGGGAGGGGTTGACGTTCGCAGACAGCTGGAGGATCGCCGCCTCCGCGCCTCAGGCAGCCGAGCCCTGGGTGAGCCCTGTCTGCTCACCTACCTCGGGACTTTACAGCCTTTGAGTCCCGGATGCACTTAACTTTTCATCTGTCCGCTGCTGGCTCTGTTGCCGAGCATTGCCCGAAGCCACGCATGTGGTCGGTAGTCCCTAGTAACCAACCCCAGGTCTCGTTTTTCACAGCGTCCAGATTTTTACCTTTTTTCCCCTCTTCTTCTTTTAGGCCTGTGGAAACACAATCAAGCCATCCACGAGCTCGCTTGGCAGTCTTGTGCAAAGGACGCGCGGTAGCCCAACCTTCCAAAGCTTCCATTCCTGCCAAGTCTTGCGAGAGGACTCGACTCCAGGAAGGCTTTCTGCCAGGCCCCGAGGTTGTACTTTCATGCACCACAGCCACCATCACCCAGCGTTTGCAAGTGGGTACGTGCCCTCCCTGGCAAAAGCCAACTGTCTGATCTGCCTCTTTAGATTTTCCCCCGTGGTCAAGGGTTACTTTTCTCCACGGATGGCCGAGTTTAACCGGCAGAACTCATTGCAGTGCATTGGATTTGAATAACCGAAATCCAGGACGTAGTCATAGCCGTGACTTCACGAGCAAGAGGGTGAGTCCCAGGACGGGGTGGCCTGCTGTGATCCTGAGGTTGGCACTGGCGCGGGCAGCCCTGGGAATCAGAGAGCAGGATTACTGCAATGAGAACCGGGAACAGGCTTTGGTCCTAGGAATGGTTTCCCTGCTAATTATCCTGTTGTTCTGCCCTGAGAGGTGTCAGTGTGAGGAGGGCTACCGCCTTCCTGCTTAACACGAGGGTCTGCTCTCTGAGTTACTGCATCTTCGTTTCTCTCAGGTTTTAAGCTATTCGAAACATCAATAGCTTCCGGGTGATTCCGAGGATTAAAGAGGTAAGTATTTTCTTTATTTAGTTGTTATTGTGTGTGTGTGTGTGTGTGTGTGTGTGTGTGTGTGTGTTTTTATCAATATGCACTTCTGTTTGGTTTTTCGAGACAGGGTCTCTCTGTGTAGCCCTGGCTGTCCTGGAACTCACCACTGCCTGGCACTCAGTATGCATTTCTGAGTTTTGTGGAATTGCTAGTAGTTTACTGTTAGATCAAGGTCCCAGCTAAAAATATGGGTTTAGACGTACAAGGCAGAACAACATACTTTTCAGAGACCCCAAGACAAGAAACCCCTTTAGTTACTGCTCAAGCCTGCAAAGGACGAGTTCCCAGGACCAACACTGTTCCAACGTTATAACTCCACAGGCCTTGAACTTGAACAGAGCAGTCTGTGGGTAAAGGCCAGTGAAGGCTGGCTTTGAAAGTTGTGTTGTTCTTACAGCTTCTAAAGGCCGGGACTTTTCTGTGGAAAGCCCAGGGTGTGTTGAGTTATGGTTTAGAAGGGACACTTGGAGGGAAAGAAGCCTTGCTGCCTGTCAAGGGGGCAGAACGATACGAATTTGTCAGGGATATAAAAAGGACACCGACGCAAGAGATTTATCCTTTCCTGCGTGGGTGAACAGAAATCCAGGACCTTCTTGACCATTGTCATTTTCCCATCACGGTAATGCCTTGTTCAGTCCTGTGCAGGGAACTTTTAAATGGATTCTTTGCCTCTAAAGATCTGATGATGCTAGTTTGCGAGGGAAATTGACAAGAGACAATTGACAGACCTTCCTGTGTGCCTAACAGATGTGAAGCTCTGAGGGGTACACGGCAGCGGAGCCTTGTGAGCAGCTCTGATGATGGAATATAGGCGCGCTGGCCTCTGTGGGATGGGAGGAGGTTCAGGCTAGGGGGAGCTGGTGCCAGAGGATGTGTGGTGCAAGCTAGGGTGGTCACAAACATCCATGGTCCTCTTTCCTGGGCACCCAGGGGATGTGAGATAGAGAGGCCCGTGTTTACTAAAGGAAAAAAAGGCAAATATCTTTCTTCCTGTTTTTTTTTTTTTTTTCCTTACAAGACGACAGCATTTTGGAGCCATCCCTGGGCCTGAAGAATTCTTCGGTCTCTCTGGTGTGCCAAGTCAAGGTGGGAAATGCTTCCCACCCGTGTATTATGGGCTTGAGGCACACCGTGTGCTTCCAGCACAGTGATTGGCATACAGCAAGTGCTTGACAAATACTTGGCGAACAAAGGAACATGGTTTGGTGACATAGAAAAGTCTGTAGGAATCATGCTTAGGGATTCAGCTTTTGAAGGGGGTTGATTTATTAGGGATTAAGCGCAGGGCCTCATGCATGCTAGACAAGCACAATCCCACTGAGCCATAGGCCCTACCCTAAAGGATTTAAAAACTTTTAAAGGAGATACTGTCTTCAATATCTTCAAACTATCTTCAAGATATACATACAATGTATTTCAAGTGTATTCACCCCTAACACCCTCGCAACTCTGTGTCCTAAAAGGAGATGCCAACCTGCCTAGCTTTAAGCTCACAGAGATCCTTCTGCCTCTGCCCAAGTGCTGAGATTAGATGTGTGTGCCTCAACGCCTGTCTAAAGTGTCTAAGAAGGTTTTCTTTCTTTCTTTCTTTCTCTCTCTCTTTCTTTCTTTCTTTCTTTCTTTCTTTCTTCCCTTTTTCTTTTTCTTGCATTGTCTCAGATTTTGGTGCTATTTTTGGTCAGTTTCTTTTTTTATAATTTTTATTTTTTATATTCATTACAGTTTATTTACTTTGTATCCTAGCTGTAGCCTCCTCCCTCATTCCCTCCCAATCCCACCCTCCCCGCCCTCCCTCATCTCTTCCCTACCCCTCTCTAAGTCCACTGATAGGAGAGGGCCTCCTCCCCTTCCATCTGACCCTAGTTTATCAGGTCTCATCAGGACTGGCTGCAAGGACCTCATCTGTGGCCTAGCAAGACTGCTCCTTCCTGGGGGGAGGGGGGTTGTCAAAGAGCCCACCTCTGAGTTCATGTCAGAGACAGTCTTCCTTCCTTTTTTTTTTTTAGAACAGACTTTCTCTGCATATTACCTGGCTGCCCTGGAACTCACTCTGTAGACCAGGTTGGCCCTGAACTTAAAAATCTGCCTGCCTCTGCCTGCAGAGTGCTGGGATTAAAGTGTGCTGCCATGACCTGATTGAAAGGATGCTTTCTTACCGAAGATGTCTTCACTTGGGTCTCTAGGTCTGCAGGTGGCTATGTTAATGTTGCTTGTCTTTGGAGTATTGCTTCATGAAGTCCCACTGAGTGGCCAAGATGAGGTTTATTCTGAGGCTGACCGTGTGCCAGGCAAGGCCCTGTATGACTACTCCAGCCTCCGCCTCCCAGAGAAGCACATTCCCTTCTTCTTGCACAATAACAGGCATATTGCTTCTGTGTGCAGGGAGGATTCCCATTGTCCATATAAGGTATGTCTGATTTATTCTCATTCTTTTTTTTAGTTGTTTTTTTTTTTAATTTCATCTCTGTATTTTTAAACTTAATTTTTGAGGTTAGCACACAAAGACCTGTGTTTCATGTGCCATTTTCATACACATGTTCTCGCATTCATACCCTGCTCTCATTCATACAAGGATGCAGCTTAGACCAGTTCGTTATTCTGCTTCATAACCCACAGCTAAACCTGGAAGTCCAACTTTCACCATGAGCTGATTACTGTTTTCACTTCATGTACTATTTCTAAGGGATGAAATTTAGCTGAAAACCATCTCCCACTCATAAGAAGGAAACAGCATTAAAACCACAGAGAAAATTAACTGGGCTGATGAAGCCGTCCACATATTCTGAAAACCGAACCGTGAGTGAGGCTTCAGAAAGAAGAGAACCTTTTCTCGGAGTAAGGAATGTGACGCCTCTCCTTTCTGCACTTGGGAGGCCTCTTAGCACCTCATTGTGGTAGTCACACCTCAGCCTTGGCTCTAAATGAGTAAGACAGGAGCTTGGAAAGACCTCAAGACAGAGCCCATTAAGACTTCTCCGGAGGCCTTAGAGATCAAAGCAGGCCATTGTAAGACGCTTCCTTTCCCATGGAGCTGGCACAGGAAGCATATGGAATCTGACCAGCATGGCTCCTGGGCCTTGCAGAAGGGCCCTGGCCTCCAGGGGTGGAGAGCTCTGACCTTGTGCAGTTTCTGCTGATCTTGATTGATGAGTGAAGTCACCCAGCCATGCTTTTCACAGAATTCTCTTAGCAACAGACGTTCTAAAGGATATAGATTTTCTTGTTTTTGTTTTTTGTTTGTTTGTTTTTTTGTCTTCTGTTGACTGATTATACAATCAGGTCCTTTTCCGTGAAAGACAGAAGACAGTCCCTTAAGATACCTCAGGAAATCCTGATTCATGTTGTCTTTGGTAGTCTGGCGGCAGCCTGGACTTGGGTTACGGAGCAGACGTGAGGAGTGAGGAGACTCTTGAGCCTGCCCCTCTCAGAATGTTGCCTGAGTGTGTATTGGAAAATATGAATGTGAAATTTCTGTCCCGAAAGGTCTGAGAATCTCCTCTAAGCATCAGAAGGGGGATCTACTCTAAAGGTATATGCATTTTATGTTCTAGAAACACCTAGAAAATCTAAACTACTGCTGGGGTTATGAGAAATCCTGCAAACCAGAGTTCAGATTTGGTTATCCTGTTTGCAGCTATGTCGACCTGGGATGGTAAGTCTCCTTATGGAATCGCCTCCTCACTTCTGAGCCTGTGTTCTTTGAAGTGCACGTTGATGCCCTGACTCCCAGCTAGACTCCCTGGTAGACAGTAATTCCTGCAGATGCTGATTTGATTATCCAGGTCATAAATTCAACCCATTTCACAATGAGAGCAATATCTGTTATCTCTTCTGTCAGGGGAAAACATTGGAATACCCCCGCATATATGCTAAGAAGATAGTAGTATAGGTGATTTCTTATTGACTCTGAAAGAATAGCTCTCCGTGCTCAACGAGAGTTGAAATATGATTAGTAATTCTATAAAAAGAACAGGGTAAATAACACTTTATTGTCTTCAGGTCCAGATGACCCGAACTTCATGGAGTTGCTGTGCCTTTTTATTATAAAGGAATAGCATATGAACGTCTTGTCTGGTAGCTTTATTGTATGCACATAGTGATAATTTTGGAGGAACTGTGATGGCCTACTTTAAAAAGTCAGGTAACAATTGACTTTAGCAACCTAATCCATAGAAAGAAAATCCAAGGCCAGAGTAAAAGAAAGTAGGTGGGTCTGGGGTGAGGTGGAAAGATGGCTTAGCAGTTAAGAGCGCTTGTTGTTCTTTGTCGAGGTCCTGGGTTCAGCTCCCGGCATCCCCCTGTGGGTTCACAGACATGCATAACTCCGGTACCAGGGGATCATCGCGATGCCTTCAGGCGTCTGCAGCCACCAAGCACGCACATGGGGGCGCACACACACATGCAGGCGAAATACTCATACACACAGGATAACATTTAAAAGAAAAGGGGAGAAAAATCTTGAACTCTCCTCTTCTGCAAATAGGACAGACACTCTGGAGTCAGCCGAGGACATGTTCTGGAAGCAAGCTGACTTTGGTTACGCCCGAGAGCGGCTGGAGGAGATGCGTGTGCTCTGCGAGCCAGAGAGACCCGTGAGTGTGCGGCTGCTCGAACGAGCTTCCCTAGTTCTGCTGCTCATCATTAGTTTTCTAGTTTAGCTGGTAATGTAAAACCAAGGTGGCTCAGTACTGCAGGATCTCTGGGTAGCCCAGGCTGGCCCCTCATCCTCGGTACTGGGCTTATAGGCGGAAACGTTTAGTGGAGCCGTCACAGTCAGAGCCGGTAGTCACAGCCCTAACTAGCTAGACTTGTCCCACTCATCATCCACAGAATGACAACAAGCAAGTGCTAGTACAATGTTGAGAAAGGAGATTTCCTTCCTGCGGTCCTGTTGGGAAAGGAAGGGGAATAAAGTGGTTTAGCGACTTCCTCAATAACACCCCCTCTCTCCACCCCCACTTCCACCCTTACCTTCCCCCTCACCAGACCCCACTCTACCCCAGCCCGAGCGCTTGCACACACACACACACACACACACACACACACACACACACACACACACCCCATCTTCCCTAATCACATGTGGTCCTGCCCGCCACTCACCCACCCATCATTCTTTTCCTGCAAGGTGGTCTGATACATTGTGACAACTATGGGAAATCTCTTCCTAGGAGATAGTTACTCCCCCATCCTGCCCACATTCCCAGCTTGGGGCTGGCACCAGGCTTCAGTCCTGTCCTTCTCCAGCATCAAATTCCTGAGGAAATTCCAAGTCCTCGGGGACTATTGTTTCAATAATCGGAGAGGCAGAGAAGAGAATGGACCTCTTCATTTCTGGCAGGATGGTCGGAGCACCACCACACCCAGCTTAGAATTGTGTTCAGTGTTCCCAAATAGGTCATTTTGTTTCCTCTGAAAGGCCCACCCTCCTCTTCACATATGTGTCAGGTAGTTATATTTTGAGGCAGTTAAAATACTTTTAGATTTAGGCCTCCCCATCCCCCACACATACCAAAGAAGAGAAATTAATAAACTGCATCTTTACAGGTCCGTTGTCAGCTCATTTGAGATGGGCTGCACCCATCTCAAATACTGATCTGTATTTATTTAGTCTTTGTGTGCACTTCAATTTGACTGGCATAGTTATTACAGCAGGGCAGACGCTTCTCTTCTAAAAGGAAAAAAGCAGGGCCCTCAGAGAAGGTGAGCAACTTCCTCAAGGCTGCACAGCTATCATGTGAACTTACACATTATTTAGAACTGAAAGGCGTATGTGTGTGTGTGTGTGTGTGTGTGTGTGTACGTCTCACCAATCCATGTCACACTCCGGCGGGTAGGACACATACACTACCAGGGAGTAATTTTAAGTAGTAGATATGAAAGTAGGTCTTTGACTGCAGAGTTCAGATTCTGACTCTTGGGCAAAGTCCTCAACCTGAGGTAGAAATTTTCTTTCTTCGTCTTAAAGCCATGCTACTTTGCAGCATGAGGTTCTGCATGTAAGAATTCCCCGCACATGTCCTGGCTGAGGACCTGAATTACACTTCCCAGCATCCATGCAAAAAACTGAAAAAGAGTGGGTTGAAGAGATGGCTCAGAGGTTAAAAGCACTGGCTCTTCTTCCTAAGGTCCTGAGTTCAATTCCCAGCAACCACAATGGTGACTCATAACCGTCTGTCATGAGATCTCGTGTACTCTTCTGGCATGCTGAACATATGCAGGCAGAATACTGTATAAATAACAAACAAACATTTTAACAACAAACAAAACGAAACAAAAAACCTCTGGAGGTGGCCACGCACAGGTCTGTAACCCCGCACTGTGGAGTGCAGCAGCTGAACTGCTAGAGCTGCTGGAGGCCAGCCTCATGCCAGTCTTAGTGAGAGAGCCTGTCTCCAGGGCATAAAGCAGGGGGTGATAGAGCAGGACGTGCTTTGTCCCCCCTCTGGCCTCTCTGTAAGTGTGTGCAAGGGGGCTTGACCCACACACACGCATTCACCACATACCCATTGAAAGGGAATACATGCTCTGTAGTGCTATTGGCGGGTGCCGTCTTTGGAGCTTGTACCAAAGGGAAAGGAGGCAATCGTTGAGTGCCATCGCCACAGGCATCTGTAATAGTTGCTTTATTTTAACACATTTGGCTTCACTGTGGCTATTTATGTGGGAAGGTCAAGGGAGGAGGTCCGACCCTACCTTGCATGGTTCCCTCATGGTAGCTTGTGGAGTCCTTTCCTAGACATCATTTGCGTTGACGTGTATCATGCTGTCAGCATGTGACCCCTTTTCTTAGTTCTTTGGGATGCTATGACAAAGCGCTAATAGAGTGGAGACCAGAGATCCAAGGTCAAAGGTGCCAGCGGGTTCTTTGGAGGGCCTGCCTCCAGAGTGCAGACAGCTGCTTGTCCTTGGATCTCCATGGAGATGGAAGAGGAAGAGCTCTCTGTGGTCTCCTTTAGAAGGATCCTGCATTAGTGTCTCTTCCTGTTCAAATCCACTGACAAGAAGCAAGTAAGTTTATTTTGGCTCACAGTTTGAGGGGACTCGGTCATCACAGCCAGATGAACAAGAGGCTCAGCTTTCAGGCAGCACTTTGGTGTGGAAAGGGCTGTCAAGTCTCTAGCTGTGTTCTCAGCGACCCATTCCTTCAGCAAGTCTTCATCTTCTATAGGTTCCACGGTTTTCCCAAGCAGCAACCAGGGGTTCAAGCACCAAGTCTGTCGGGGATGTTTCATATTTAAACTGGAGCAGGTGCTAATATTTATGAGGACTAGCCCCCATAACCTCACAAAGCTCTACCACCTACTACCATCACCTTGACAACTGGAATTGACTGATTGATGAGTGATTGTTTTCTTATCTTTATTTATTTAGTATGTGCATCCATGGCATGTGAAGGTCAGAAGACATCTTACAGGAGTTAGTTCTCTACTTCCACCATGACAATTTTCTTCCTTTCCTCAAGTCATCAGCCTTTGTCTACAAGCCCCTTTATCCCTTGAGCCATCTCACCATGCAAGAGTTGGTTTTGAACATGAATGTTTTTCAGGGACACAGCGCTCACTGCATGGTGATCCTTTCCTGGCTCAGCTCACAAACACTAAACAGGCTAAGATTCAGGCCCCTCGTTCATTGGAAATTTTAGGGAAAACCATTAAATGGTGTTTGATTCCTGAACGGAGCCCGGAGCAGAAGTTCATGAAGTGCCCTCTCTTTCAGTGCACACTAGCTTGGTTGAAGTAGAAACAGGCTGTGGCTGTTGACTTTTCAATGGTTTCATTCAGTTGGTGGAACCATTTGCAGAAACTCCTCACACTCAACTTGGCAAGCTGCCTGTCCAGACCTGAGTTTGAATGTGTTTTATGTGCTCAGTGTTTCTTGTTGCCTTTGGCTTCTCCTTAGAAAAGGCTTTTCCCCACCAAGTAGTTAGGGGTAGAATGGTTCTGCAGGATTGTTCTTTTTTTGCTGGTGCAGGGGGGATGGGGGAGAGGACTGAAGTAAATCATACTACAGTCCCTGGCTTTAACACTTGAGGGCTGATGAGATGGCTCTGTGGGTAAAGGTACTTGCTTCCCAGCCTGACAGCCTTGAGCTCAGTCCCTGACAGCCATATGGTAGAAGGAAAGAACCAATTTCTGCAAGTTGTCTGTAACCTCCACCTGTGTGCAGAGGTATGTGCACACATGAATATAAATAAATTGATTAAAATAATTTTTGAAGGAAGCAGCATGTAGTGACAATTATATGTGTTCCCAGGGTTTGGGAATGGTGTCAGCACGGCCAGCCTAGGGAGGCCTCCCAGTATGATGTCAGCATGGCCAGCCTAGGGAGGCCCCCCAGTATGGTGTCAGCATGGCCAGCCTAGGGAGGCCTCCCAGTATGGTGTCAGCACGGCCAGCCTAGGGAGGCCTCCCAGTATGGTGTCAGCACGGCCAGCCTAGGGAGGCCTCCCAGTGCTAATCCTGTTCCCAGCTGACTGTTCCTCTCATCTCAATTGTATTTCAGAGCGACTCAAGTCTGGTTTGCTCCCGTCACCTTCAGTATTGTAGGGCTACCGGTCTATACCTGGACTTAAGGAACATCAAGAGAACCCACGACAGGTACTTATGTGGTATGGCCACAGTCAAAGCTGACGACATTCTGAAATACTCTCGGGTGCAGGGCTATGTCTTGGGTTTGTTTTGTAGTAAAATGGTTGAACGGTTAGTGTAGGCACTATTTTTTTCTATGCTATTTTAATTTATTGGGTTTTCTTATATCTCTACCTCCCTTCCACCAACCCAGTTCCTTCAAACACCCAACACCAGGTAAGAAAGAAGGTTAGAGGGGAGAGGGTGCATAGTTCTCTTAGGCTACTTCCTGCTGGTTAGGGTTGTCAGGTTCCCTAGGGCCAGTCCAATCTTCATTTCAGGATATCTCCAACTTCTTCTCACCAAACTGCATCAACAGCAACCAGGAGCCCCAGCGGCGAGCACCAGCATTCTTCTTTCTTCTTGGAGACCCAACTGCTCTGGACTCTGGCATTTATTCCCTCTCCAGAGTCCCCAGAATTAAATGATCTGGAGCTGGCAAAGAGCTCCTCTGAGAGCCTACAGTAGGCAAACAGTTTGCTGCTGTGGACCATCTGAATCAGCTCCGTATCCCACACCTGGGATTAAAACAAAAGGATGTTTACGTAACATAACTGAGTTTTTTTTTTTTTTTTTTTTTTTTTTTTTTAAGAAGCCAAAGCTTCCACTACGGGTTAGGGAATAGGCGAGGAGAGGATGACCCAGGTCCTTGACCTGATGATCACACTGCTGACTTGGGTCATGGATCTATTGGGTTCCTTACAAGCTGTTTGTAGGTAAATGATGCAACGCATGCTTGTAAGTTAAATTCTGGAGGGGCTCGAGGTGTGTGTGGCTCTGTCGGTAGTGTGCTTACACTGCACAGACCAGGTGTGGAGATACAGGCTGGCCATCCTAGCATTCAGAAGGTGGAGGCAGGAGGATCAAGACGCTCATGGTCCTCTTCTGCTACATGGTGAATTTAAGATCTCCCTGGGTGACGTGAGACCCTGCCTCAAAATAAAATATAATGAAATAAATCCAGGGGCTGGAGAGATGGCTCAGCCATTAGGAACCCTTGGTGCTCTTGCAGAGGATCTGGGATTGATTCCTAGTGCCTTCTCGGTGGCTCACAACCATCTGTGACTCCAGCCTCCAGGAGCCCCACACATGCACTGCTACACAGACATATATGCAGGCAAAACACATACACACATAAAACAAAAATAAATCTTTTTTTAAAATGTGTTGAAAGATTTGTTAGGAAATTAATTTCAAGTCAGCAACTTGAGTCACGAGAAAATTTTCTAGCTCAACTTTTTTTTTTTTTTTTTTTTTTTTTTATTCACTAGATTCAAGGAAGATTTTCTTCGGGATGGTGAAGTTGGAGGACACTGTAAACTTGACAGTCGGGCACTGGCGTCTGAAGGTCAGCGCAAAAGCCCTCTGCAGTCTTGGTAACATGATTTTGTTTCCTAAAAATATGTCTAAAGTATTTGTGTTTGTTTTGGCACTCACAGGATTTCGAAGGGACTCTCTAAAATGGAAAAGGTTACCAAATTTGAACAGGAATGAGTTTCTGAGCAGTGGAGGGGGGCAGAGATGAATCCCTCAGTTAATCTGACTATTGGGTTTATAAGTTTTTAAAAAGCAAGTGTAGATTTTTCTGTTTGTAAGGGAAAGGGAAAGTATTTGACAAGACATATATCACTAACTCACAATGTCTGTGTGTGTTTTTAGAAGCACATTTCATAAAGCATACTCCCCCTCCCTCGAGCACAGAGTTTGGTTAGTGGAAACTCTAACCAATGCTACAGTGAGCCGGCCCAATGTAACTTACGTTCAGCTTGAAAAGCACAAGCGTTGGCAACACCCTAGGCACGCCCACTGGCCTCGCCCCACCTCCCTCTCTCTGACGCCAGATGCTACCCCAACTTTTACCATCATTGATGAGATTTTTTTTTTTTTTAACTTTAAAACTCTAATTTAAAACCATCTTAGGCTCGTGGAAAATTAAACGTTATGCCTGAGTTCGCTAGTTTCCTGGGAATGATAATGTCTCATTTAACCGTAGCGCAATTACCAAAGCCAGGAAGTTGTCATTGATAGCGTCTTATTAACCACACATATGTGGGTTTCTTCCGTATGCACTTATAGTTTTTCCAAATGTGTGCTTTAGAAAATTTATATTCCATGTTGAGGGACGTGTGACCGCCTCCCTAATTACGATGCAGAATCCTTCGATCACGGAAGCGAACGTATGTTCCCTATATATGGGCTACTCTTATGTAAAGTTAATGTCTCAGGTCATTCATGCTGGGCAGAATATTTAGGAATAATAATCTAATCTACCCTTATATAGTACTTGTCAGTTTGTTGTGAAGTTTTTTGGGGACTTAACAGATTGTTACAGATAGATGCTTCTTCCGTTGTACAAGGCATTTTCATTCTAGTTCATTTTGATATCTGAATCTACATTAAAGCTCCCCTGGGCATACTTGTACTATTTATTGCTGGGCAACACGTTATTCTAAAGTACACCCCAGGGCATAGTTGTGTTTATTATTTATTGCTGATACAAATGGCTCTGAAGTAAAGCAGATGACATTTAGAATCTCACCTTGTTCTGACGTCAGAGTGGGAGCAGCTCAGCAGGGCTCTATGAGGCCGCAGTCAAGCTGCTGGGTGGGGCTGTTGCCATCTCTAGGCCCAGCTAGGCCGGAGAACTTGACCTCTGAGCTCACCCAGGCTGATCTCTGAGCCTCAGTTTCTGTCTGGTTATGGACCAGAGGATTCGGTCTTCACTATATGGGTCTTTTGGTGGTGCTTTTCACACACGGCACAGTGGTCATATTCCTCAAGAGCATGAATATATATGCCTAAGGATGGAAGGTGCTGTGTTGTGTGACCCACTTCAGCAGGAATACACTACTGTCCTCTATCGCTTAGAAGTAAGCCATTGAGCTATGACTGTATTCACAGGGGAGGGAGGCATCAATTTCCACTTCTTTTCTTTCTTAAAAAAAAAAAA